GGAATTCAGCACTGGGAAGCGTCTTTGAAAGAAAAACAAGCCAAGAAGGATAAACAGTCTCAGAACCTTAAGAAGCGATTCTTGGCACAACAAGAAGAACGTCCATCAAGCAAAAAGAGAAAAGGCAAAGGCCGTGCAGCAGATCAAACTCTTTCAACACAAGATCAATTGCTGGATGAGGGGTCATCGGACTCTGAATAAATCAATGTATCAACGAATAATAGTAATTTATTATTCATCCACACGTTTCTTTCTCCAATGATCAATTCTCTGTTTAAATTTCATTTCTGCCTCTGTAAAACATTGTACATTTAAATTTGAATTCATACTTTGATGTTTAAGTTAGAGATTATATACAAGATGATTGAGAGGTTAAAATTACTCAATCGGAGATGCGGAGCTTCCCATTCCTAAATGAAGCTTTGCATTTCGCAAAATGCGGAGCTTTCCAATACTTACAAATGAAGCTTTGCATTTCGCAAAATGTGAAGCTTTCCAATACTTACAAATGAAGCTTTGCATCAACTTCCTTTGCCTTTGCTGCTTTGAATCATTCTGAGTATCGACTCTCAAGACCAAGAAATCTGAGTTCAAAGTTGATAATCTGTCACAGGCCTCAGACGACCTGTCACAAAACTTTCACAGGTCCGATTGAAGACTGAAACATTTACCACTTGGAACTCCACATCTCAACCGTCTTCTTCACTCTTCATCGATCTTCCAACCCTTTACGCCCAACCCAACAATGTCACAACAAGCACGTTTTCAGCCTTATTCAAGGCCTTCAACTCAATCACAAATCTTGATCAAAGGTGCAGCTGCCCAGCGACGCAGTTTACGCGAACGTTCTGCCCCAGCTCCAAAATCGAAAACTCCTGCTCTTCCAGCTCAAGCTTCAAAGTCGAAATCGAAAACTCCTGCTCTTCCAGCTCAAGCTTCAAAGTCGAAATCGAAAACTCCTGCTCTTCCAGCTCAAGCTTCAAAGTCGAAAGCAAAAACTCCTGCTCTTCCAGCTCAAGCTTCGAAGTCAAAAGCATACCTTCCGGCTCTTCCAGCTCAAGCTTCGAAGTCAAAAGCAAAAGCTCCTGCTCTTCCATTTCAAGCTTCAAAGTCAAAAGCAAACCTTCCGGCTTTTCCAGCTCAAGCTTCGAAGTCAAAAGCATACCTTCCGGCTCTTCCAACTCCAAAACCAAAATCCACCAAATCAATTCTTCCGACTCGCATAGATAGTTCTTTACCTTCCAGCGAGACTGAACTATTCAGACAAGATGACTTGAATTTGTTCAATCACTCTGACCACAATTTTGGTACGTTTCACATTATCTGATTGCTTCATTTTCTTCTTTTTTGTTTCATATACTCAGCCAGTTGTTTCAACAATGACCCATCAAAGAAGAACAAGGTAATAACAACAGTGGTGGAATTGTTGAAGGTGAGTCATTACATCCGTCTTATGTTACCTTCACCATCCTGATCCCAATTTTTGAAAATAGACGAAGGTAATAACGGTGGCGGGGATTCTGAAAGTGAACCAGGAGGCCAGACAGCCGCGGACCTCGCTATCCAAGCCATTCGGACCCATGCCAACGAAATCACTGCCGAGAGCCAAGCGACACACATGAATCGCGCCAAAGTGGGTACTTACAATCGAGTTGCCACCCGTGTTGGCCTTGACACAGAGCACCGTTTCATTGGTCGCACACTCTGCAATGTCAGTGTCATTTCTATAATTATCCTCTTCATCACTCTCTTCCATTATCAATCTGACTATCAATTTCTGCTGTAGGTTGAATCTACTGAGGAGCAGTTCATGACCATGATGGCAAACGTTCTGGTTGAACGTCAAGAGAACGAAGTGTTCCGTTTGGAGATGAGGAGTCAATTGTCAGAAATCCAATCAGAGCTCGCCAAAATTTCATCTGGGGCTATCGGTTGGAAAGAAAGCAAAGAGCTCAAAGTAAGTAGTTTCAATATTCAACTCTGCATCATGAAAATCATTACGTAATTCTCCCTTCTTCCTGTGTTCAGAAATGTTTGCGCGTCTGGGCCACAAAGTGCATTCTCAAAGGCGATATTCAGGCGTACACAGCAACCAACGACAAAACAGGCACCAAAGAGCTCCTCCCTCACTCTCTGTATGCAAGAGTCATGGTGAGTCTTGTAATCTTTTATCATGAGATTAAAATATTAACAATGATGCAATGGTTTATTCAGACCGAGATAATGTCAACTCGCACCGCGTGGAAGAAAAAGATGTTGCCACCTCGCTATGGAAAGGATCCGAACCCAGCAGGGTCGAGTTTTTCACGCAGGTCATCAAGACAGTGCTGAAGGAGGTCCGGAAAGCCAATACAGGCCCGGTAATATTTTATATTAATATACTTTGTCTTTCATCTTTCAATGGGCTGACTATTGTCTTTTAACGGGCTGAACACTTCAATCAAAATTGCAGCTCCTGACCAATGTTCGGCTTCCGGATCGATCTGTTGTTACAGGTGATGGCGCTGTACCGAGCATCTATGAGATTATGGTTAAGGTGAGTCTCCGTTGAACTCACTCTTTTGCCTTTTTCATTCTAACCAAGTTTGAATTAGCTCTAGCAAAAAGAGCATGGTTATGTTGGAGGCAGTGTAATCTCTCCAAAAAAGATCATGTCCGACATTGGGCATCTTCAAGTTGGTCGCCATGCATGGATAGTATGTAGTTTCCTTTTTTCATCTCGTTGTACAATCAATCTCACTGACTTGCTGGATTCAATGACATCCAGAGGATACAATTCATACATTGGGGGTTAAACTGTCCGACATACAAGACCAAGACTTTGTGGAACGTGGTGGACCAGACTCTGGAGCACTTGCGCAGTGAATCCTCAAGGTATCGTTATGCGTAGGCTTGTTTCTCTTTGTTTCTATATTCCTTGCATTAATCGCAACTGACTTAATCTTGTAATCAGATTCTATGTGCTGGTCTTACAAACTGACCTATTTATGAACGGAAAGAGGACATTCGAAGAATTGAAAGCAATGACCAAGTTTACATTACCTACAGAGCAAGAGATTCAAGATACTATAGCAGGCCTTGATGATTCCTTTGGAGACGAGGCAGCAGGACCTGATGAAGAACTATACGAGGCAGAGGAATTAGGAGCAGAGGTGGCGAATGGACAAGATGAGGAAGAAGATGAGGAAGAAGAGGTAGATGATGAGGAAGAAGATGAGGAAGAAGAGGTAGATGAGGAAGAAGAGGTAGATGATGAAGAAGATGAAGAAGATGAAGAAGAGGTAGAAGAAGAAGAAGATGAAGAGTAAGTACTGAGGTGATTGATGTAGATGGTTTTCTTTGTCTTATCTTATAGACTACTTTCTTGATCATTTTTTTTGATCAATTGTGAGTTTGTAAGTCCTGCCTTGAAGGCTCAAGTTGATATTTTTGTCTATATCATTGTATTGGTTTTGTTATTTTATATATACATTTTTATGTATTTTTATGTATTTTTTTTGTTATTGTTTATTTTGTATTTTGATAATAAAAGTGCTAAGCGCTTATTAGGATGTGTTCATTGAATTGTGCCACTGTTGATGTGAACCTAGAACAGAGTTTCAAAAAACGCTGTCTGCTATGCGGCACATTATGTGCCACTAAAGAGAGGGACCTCACTGGGTTTTCACCGGTTTATGGTGAAGTTCCCACTGGTGTAAATAGCACAGTGTTAACTCCGGTTGTACGACCCCGAGATTTTCACGAATCATGCCTGCAAATGTTGGCGGTTTTTTCACTGCGCAGTGTCACCAGTGAAAACCCCGTTTGGGGGGGTTCGTGGTGTACATCGTGATCATGAGGATCTTCGTGAGATTGAGGAGGGGCTTAATGATCTTGAACGTTGAATACAACCGATTTCAATTGTTCCATGGCCCAAATGTATTGCTCTTCTGTTTTGCTGTGCATAAAACATAGGGTGATGGTAAAGGTGCGGTGAGTATTGGTTGTTCCAACGACGTGAAGCAGAGGCAGATTAAAGCGGTTGGTCTTGTAAGTACAATCAACTCCTATTACGGTGGGAAACCGGCGGGCTAATTCGATTCCTTCAGGGCTAGCGAAGAAAAGTGACTGAAGGTGTCCTTCCGGGGAGGTGGTGGTGCAAAAGGCCCACTTCTGCTCAGTTATCAGGTCAAACAAACCTTGAATGGGAGTGCGGCCACATAACCACGCGTCTTGTTGGCGATAAAGTGCATTCCGTATGTCTCTCACCAGTGGCTCCGAGCCAGGAGCAAAGTTAATGAGTCCTCAGATCTGGCCAGCGGTGCATCCAGCTGAAGATAGGCGGCTGATCTGGCGTAGGGTATCTTCTGAAAACCTTCGGTTTTTTGATAGATGGTTCGGTTGTTCAAATGGAGGGTGGTTGTGTTGGTGCTTTGCCGGGACTGTCAAGTCTTTCTTCACAACCCATCGATCCAGCCTGGACAGGTAGTTGAGCAAAACCTCATATGGACATCTGGTCATCTTCGTAGAGCTAGTTCAAACCGTGGCCACTGATCCGACATGCCGACCAAGGGAGCACCTGAAGTAGATCCTGACTTTGTGATGTTTTTCAGTCTTGTGACTCTTGATTGCTATTCCATATCCTTGGTGTCAAGCAACAGCATTCAGATACATGATTCCGCTGACCATTGCTACAAACTGTTTGCCAAAAACTGTTTGCCAAAAACAGGAGACTTCATGAGGCGTACGGGTTTGGCATCTAAGTTATCAAATTAGAAACAAAGGATGTTAATTTGCAATTGGTTGTCAAACGGATACAAGGGTAAATACCATGCGAGTATTGCAAGATACACATACCAATTGGCGGCCAATCATCATCTCGCTCCGCTTGAAGATCCAGTAAATCATCTTCTTTGTCCGCTAAGTCTTCCAAGCTATTGGGTGTGGCATGAGCGTGTGTAATTGGGCCGGCAGTTGTGTTGTCTGCTGCATCGCTGAGTGTATGACTGCTTGGAGTGGGTTTACGAGGAAGATTGAGAACCACTGCAGAAGAGGGTCGTAGGTTTGACGTGTTCGAATTAGCTGACTTTGGACTGAGCGGGGCCTTGCGTGGGTTCGAAGTGGATGTTTTTGGACTGATAGTCTTGAACACCACATGTGACATAGACGATTTTGGACTGGTGGCTAACGGGCTAGGCCACGGTTCTACAGTTTGAGTCAAGTAAGGGGTGAGTGGAACTTGAGGAGGTGGTGGCGGAGGATAACCATTTGTCATTGGATGATAAGGATACAGAGGCAAATTAGGTGGTGGCTGAGAAGACATATAAGCAGGATTTGGCCATTGGAATGATGGTTGAGGTCGTGTGAACCCTTGTTCGGTAGTTGGGTTAGATTGGTAAGCAAAAGGAGTGGGCCAGTAGTGAGGAGTGGGATACATATAAGCTGGATGAAAGTACGGATTGTATGGGTTGTTCGGTGGTAAAGGTATGGAAGCTGGGGAAGCGGAAGCGTGGGCAGTGGCTGGATTCAAAACTGAACCCGAAGAACCCGAAGTTGTACCGATGGGAAGATTGGCCATTGAGAATCCTGAGAAGAAGAAGATAAGATGATGATCGATATGCCACGTAGTGATGATGAGATATCCAGATGTAAGACAGACGATTGGCCAAAAGACGAAGGACTGTGCATAGAGGGAACGGTTTTGGTCAGCACTGGTTCCTTTCAAGGTAAGGAAAGAAAAGAGAGACGGCTTACCATCTTGGGATGAGGCGTCTTCAGCTGTATAGGATAGTGCAATAGTGTTGTCCCCTTTGGGAAGTGAGAGCCAGGTAATGCGTCCATCGAGAAACACCAGTGAAGCCAGAGGCAACAAAGCCAGGGATGAGGCGTATTGGGCTGTATGGGGTGGTGCGAGATTGTCCTCTGTGGGTTTGGGAAGTGTTCTGCTTGACTTCGAGAGGAGTGTCTTGCTTGGGAGCGAGGGTGTTGGTGTTGCGAGTCCATCATCAAGTGTACCGCCGGAGTAAGGCTACTACGATGTGCCAGACCAGACGTTGGGGTGAGGTTGTGGTTGTAGTGGATTAGCGATTAGCGATAATTAGTAAGTAGGGTGGTTTTGCGTTGTTGAGTTGTTGACTACTGTGACTGTGAAGTGACTACAAAGTGTACTTTGTACTTAGTTGGCGTGCAAGGGAGGGAGGGGGTGAAGGTGAGGGTGAGGTGAGGGTGAATGAGCGAATATGGATGCTACAGCCCGGTTTGGGCCGATCGGATGAGGTCAGCTGATTCGTACAGCCCGGATTGTGGACGCCAAAGCCCGGTTTGAAATAAGCGGCAGCCCGGTTTGTAATAACCGGGCGGTAAGCTGACTTTCCGCCCGGTATACGCTGCGGCTGCGGCGAAATTTGGCACTGTCGGGTCCGGGTTTGCCGGGAATATACGGATAAAGCCCGAAAAATAACCGGGCTTCGGGTTTTTTAAACCGGGCGCCAAATAGTGTTAAATATCCTTGCAATAAACCCAATGACTTCAAATTTGCTTTCGGTTTGTCATTTTTAGAGTCTTTTGGATGTGACAGTGATCCACTACTTCTTTGGGACGTGCTTTTAGCTAGTTTTAGTTTCTTTCATTTTCTCTACTCTCCTTCACAGATCTCCTACTTTGCACAGTTAGTCTTTCTTTGTTGTTAGACTTTTCAGTCTCTCAACGTGTTTGGGGGGGGCCTTTTGGGCTGTAGACTAGCCGACGGGGTAGGTTCTCCGCGAGGAGGGTGCCGGGGTGGGTGGGAGGACAGAAAAATTTCTTCGAGAATTGTTGTCTTCTTTGAACTTGTGATTCGCGGATGAGTGAGAAATTCGTTGGGGAAAACAATTTGGGGAAAACAATTTCCCTGAGAGAAAGTTTTTTCTCCTAACTTCAAAGAGCCGGTACCGGGTCTCTAATTTCTTACGCTTTTATCCGCGTATCCCAAGTTCCGTGGAACTCCCGGGAAACGTCGTGCCTTTGGCTTCTCGGGGCATGAAGGAGGGAAATTGACGAGCAAAATCAGGCAAGCAAAGTCTTATGTATTCAATGGGAACATGGCCTCAATCAGATTATCAGATCGACTGTTTGACAAACTTAAGGTGGACTGATACCTTGATAAAACGAGATTGCGCATAGGAAGACTATTAAATACATTTGATATTGCCAATTTCCATCGATTCAGAACAATCAGAGTAGTGAAACTTTTAAAGAGAAACTACTAAAGTTGGGACAAGGTTGTCATAGAATCACTTGGTTTTACAAATCAGCGGGCGTACAAAAAAACAAATTGGTATGATGATGGCTATGAAGAAAGCAAGCTGAGTTGCAACTTTGGTCAGGAGGATGTGTAGGAGGGTCTTCTGAAGGAAAGAAGTCCTTGGATGTCATAATAAGGTCTGCGTTTACGTTCACCTACAGCCCTCCTGAACTTGTCACATACATCGATTGCATTGACATTAGCCAGATCAACAACAACCGGGGCTGTCATCACATGGGTGGCAGGTTGGGGGGTCATCAGGTCCAGGAGAAGGTCCAGGAGCAGAGTCACGAGTTTTGAGGTGTCTTGAGTTAGCGAGATTGGTTTTGTGTAGACAGGTTTCATATCAATCAGTCAAATGATGTAGGAGAGTAGAGTAATGAGAGTTGATGCTCATAACATTCACTTACAATCTCTGTTTGATGATGGGAGTGAATTCTACAAATCGACGTTGTAGGACTTCACGAGTGACACTGAAATCAAGCAAGTCATGCATTAGGTCAAGTTTCTGAGAGCAGTTCAGAGAAATATGTTAAAGCTTTGCTTACGGTTGGTCATCTTGGACCGGGCTGGTGGAGATTGTGGCTGTAAGAATAGATAGAGGATTGAGTACGATGGAGTACAAATGGAGGTATGGTCCATGAATTCACTGACCTGCTAGAACAGCAGCAATGACGATTTTGAAGAAAAGCATAGCAAATTCTTGATCGTTGAGGAATGAGACAGGTTTGATGGGATATTTCAAGATGTAAGGTCTGGAGGAGACTGATAAGTTGTGAGAGGGAGAAGTTGAGAACACGGCGAGGAAAGTGCTGCCACTCGAGCTCACTCGAGGCAGTGATCACTTCGACTCTCAGAGACATATTTAGAATCTGAGTGACTTCTGTCACCTCATTGACGTGTGAGTTGACTTTGAAGCATTTTAAGCGCCCTCGAGTCGTGGGTTTCCTCCTGTTCCCTCGTATTGTATGCGCAACAAGACCAACTTCAATCGATTCTTCTCTGATCAATCCTCATCATCTTCCCATTATTCGATTCCTCACCATCGCTGGATTGTAGGGTTTTCGTTGACCTGTTGTTTACCAGTAATCGAAACCTCTTCTACTGATTCATCCGGATCAGGACCTAAAAACCTACTTGCATTCCTTTTGACTTGTTCGATTCAATCAAAGACAGAGGGTCTACGAGTTAGAAGATCTAATGAAGTGAATCCAAAGCAATTCGAATCAAATCATAGAAGATCAGAACATCTGCCAATCCACCGGCTCCTTAAACCTGTCATGAATCTCGGGTTATATGAAGAATTCTTTTTGATTAACTCCGGCATGATCTTAGAGCCCATTCGGTGAGCTCCATTGTGATGTGTCGGTTTGATTCATAGATTCAGCTCTCATCGTAGACTGTCTTCTTACTCCGCGGAATTCATCAATCAATCAATCAATCAAAGTCTTCATATGATGATCTTAGTCAGTTAAATGAAGATTCAGAGTCAAATGAGTTTAATTGTTGGATTCTTATATAATCCAATATCTGTTGACCATAAATCAGTTCACCGCTTCACCTCTTTACCTGGCAGTTTACTAGACTTGTTATCCTCATTATTAAAAGGACTTCATCGACATTGTCATTAAACAAACACACAATCCTTCCGCAGATGTCTTCAAACAAGTGTGAGTTATTGAGTTGATATATTCTTGACAAGAAAGATTCAAAAACTAAAATTCAATCTTTTTTGAAGTTTGGGATCATACTCAAAAACCATCGACTCCATGTCAAATTGATACTTTGAATTCAGAGTTCTCTAAGAATCCTGATGATTGGATAACAGATACTGGAACTAAATATGTTGTTTCTAGATCAATCTCGCCTAATGCCGATGATATAACACCTTATCTTAGTTCACATCCACGTACACCAAGCTTAATCGAAGCTGAAACTCCAGCTTATTCTTTAGGTAGAGCTTTCGGTGTTGATCAAGATATCGGTCATGATTTACACCATTCTTTCAGTCAAAAGCACGAAGCTTCAAAAAATAGTGATCAGAGGAAATGGTCAAAACATCTTCCGATCCCTTTAACAAGTTTTCCACGATGTAAATCCTTAGCTTCCATTCGAGATAAATATCGTCATCATAATTTCCATGATACGAATCACCCAAATATACCAGATTCAACCTCTTCACCAAAGTACATTATTGCAACCCCAGAAATGCTTCAAAAGTTATGCTTAGAATCTCAAAAAATGATCAAGAAGACCGTAAGCGACTCGGACGATGAAGAAAAGTTTAAATCACCAGAAAATACCGATTTCGAGATTAAAGATTTAAATAAATCTCATTCTATTCAACTTGTACCCACCAAAAATGGATCAGTTGAACAAATCGAATACGTAAATCCTTCATCTCCAATCACGGATTCAGTTACACTTCAATCAAACTCACCAGGACCAGAACCACTGAGATCAGTACCAAGAAATTCTTATCAAAAGTAAGTTAGGATTTCATTTGAGATTCATGATGAATGTTTTGATCTTGAATCATTTTCTTGGACGCATATATCCCAGTTTCAAATTGGCAACGCGAGAATTTGCCGCTGAGTTCCTAGGTAAAATTTCAAACCTTTCGCGTGCTCTCTAAAAATCAATAAAATTTCTCACAGTTAACTTTTGTTTTCTTAAAAAACAGGCACTTGCATATTAATTTTATTCGGAAGTACGTTAAAAATCAATTCCCTCTTTTGTTGAAGTTCAAGCCATGATGTTGAAACATTTTCTCGGGGGTTTCAGATGGGGTCAATAACCGTAAGCTTTCAAGAATCCTATTCAATCACCCCAGTCATCAACGCTATCTAAAGTACGTGGAAATTTTGACATTCTGATTCCTCGAAACTCTATAAGAGGTCACCTTGAACTCCAGTAGAGCTGTCTCTGGCACCGACAAAGGCGATTACCTGAGTATCTCCTTTGGATGGGGAATCGGAGTGATGATTGGAGTGAGTGATATTCAATTCGAGATTGTTTAACTCTCAAAGATCTTATCACCTTGTTCATCACAGGTCTACGTGGCTGGACGCGCCTCAAATGGTCATTTAAATCCCGCTGTTACCCTATCTATGGCTAGTTTCAGAGGCTTGTACGTTAAATCAGTCAAGAAAACCACGAGGATCTTGAATCTAATCTAATTCGTTGATTTTGATTCAAGCTCGTGGAAAAAGGTTTTACCTTATTGGGTCGCTCAAGTATTGGGTGCTTGGCTGGGTGCAACATTAGTACAAGCAATGTGAGTAGAAGAAGTGTACATTCTCCAAGCTCTTTCCCGTGAATTGAGATCGGTTACGCAGATACTCCGAAGCCTTGAACCTCTACGAAGGTGCGAAATCTTTAAGAACACTCACAGGTCCTAGATCAACTGGTGCTCTTTTCTTCACTTCACCTGCAGAGTACATGTCAGGTGAGTTTTAACAAATCTCTTCTTAAATTTCTCGGTACACCAATCAAATCAATCTTTACCTTTTTGTTTCCTTTTTTCTAGATGTGAATTGCTTTTTCCAAGAATTCTTAAACACAGCTATTCTTTTACTTGTGATTCTAGCTATAAATGATAGAAAACATTCTCCATCACCAGATGGAATGAATCCGTAAGTGAAATTCTCAAAAAAGATCAACCGTCTTACAACAGAATGTAAATAAGTAGTCAGATGATGTTTTTATACATTTTCCCAAGGTTTATTCTCTTATGGGTAATTGTAGGACTTGGAGCATGTCTTGGATCTCAAACTGCCTATGCAATGAATCCTGCAAGAGATTTTGGTCCTAGAATCATGGCTAGTTGTTTTGGTTATGGAACTGAAGTTTGGAGTTTTAAACACTTTTATTGGATTTGGACTCCTTGTTTGTCTTATGATTTCCTTTATTTCTACTTTTTGGTATTTCTAATTTTGGTTTCTTTTTGGGATTCTTTTGTAGGGATTGCTACTTGTGGTGGTGGTTTGTTTGGGAGTTTGGTTTATGATTTATTTGTAAGTTTATCTTGTTTTGATCATTCAAAATCATCATTGATTATTCTTTTTTTGATTGTGAAAACTGGAACTTTTGCTTTTTTTAGATTTACACTGGATCAGATTCACCATTGAATCAAGATGTTCATTCTAAATTTATGAATTGGTTCAAAAAAGATAAAACTAAGGTGATATATGATAAAAATATGTGTTAATTTTTTTAAAAACAACAGTAACTGGTTTTCACCGTATAATAATTATCAAGGACATTGGTTCTTCTTTCTGTTGAAAAAGTTGAAATATAAGTAGTAGAATATTGAAGCAATGTTGAATCTTTATCTTACATGATCATCAAGAATTAACTTTTAGCTTGGTTTACTGCATACCTTTGTAACATCTATCTAATGCAATCATGTATGTAAATATATAGTTTAACTGCTACAATCAGGTCTTAATGAGTAGCAACATTGTATTTTTGTAAATCAGTAAATTAATTTCAACATTTTACTTTGTTTTTTTTGAAAATAAATCAAGCATGGATATTTTATTATGAAATGATCTTTGATTGATTCATATGAAAATCATTTTCTTGAGATAAGTCTATGAGATTTTAAAAAATGGTGATCTTTTGGTAAGAAAAGTGTGAAGATTAATGTGGGTTTTCTGTTAAACTTATGTGATGTTTTGAAGGGAGGAACAGGATGAAGTCATCTTCAGTTGGTGATAGTACCTGTCTAAAGCCATTACTCAATGTATCTTCTTGCTTAAGCAAAAGCAGTTTTTTTGTGGTGAACATCTTCATCTTAACACCATTGGTAATATCAATACCAAAGATGTTTTTTTTCTCAATCTTGTGTGGTTAACACACAGGTGGGTTAACAGATTTCATGCAAATTGAGAGCACAAAACAAAAGGTCAATCATGAACTACCTGATTGAACCTTACCACTTTCTTGATGTGAACAACCATTATAAGGGTAGAAAAAATTGATACTTGCAAAGTATGCAGAAGCCCATGATTGCCAAGGTTGATCAGTAGTAACTAAAATTGTAACCAAACAATGAATAATAACACTTGATTTTCTTGATATTGGCAATATGATTCAGATGTAACACAGAAGATAAATTGACAAGTATGAGCATGATTAGTGCCACATGTAACCATCACCTACATCACCATCTACAGTTGCAGCCACCAAAATCACATATTGATCACCAATGTACTATCTTGCCCACTATTGATCAGTTTGGGGACATAGCCATCTCTTGCTCTTGAGGACCTTGGGGAAGTCTATATCACCGATACTCAGTGAATTTAGTTTTTTCATGAATTCAAAACAAAACTGGCATACCTTGACCTTCTTTTGAGTTTGTAAAAGTTCCATGCAATGTCAATAGCAAGAGCACATATGCAAGCTGACAAGACCCAAAGTGTCACGTTCTCTACTCGGGCTTCTGAGTCTGGTACCAGGAGGTATTCAGTGGTGCTTGGCACTTGAGCATCTTCAAATGTTTGCATGGGTGGTGATGTAATGTCTTTGCTATCAATATCCTGCATCAATGTTCTATGGTGGAATCGAGACCTTTTACTGGGGGTGGAAGTGGGTCCAAATTCCTTGTTGACCTGTGCCCTAATCTGTTTTTCATATGTTAACCTTTCCTTGAGCTGTTCATCCGCCACAGAGAAGACCACTCCACTAGAGCCAGAAGCCGTTTGAGTAGCTATGTTTACATTGGATATTTCATCATGATTGATCTGTGGTATTCTGATATAGGAACCAGAAGCCTGATGATCTATAAAAAGGTTTATACCAATGAAAATCTGTCCAAATTTCATCTTGAGGTGCACACCATATAGATAAATCAAGCAAGGTTCCTAAGATCAGCCATGTCTTGAGAATTCTCAAGGCATTTGACTTTGAACAGAAGAAAACTAATCAAGAAAGAATATGAGCTCACTGATCTTAATTTGAAAATATGTTCCTACACGCACTCTACCAATGTGGATATGGTATATGGAGGTAATAGCTGTGTAATAGAGCAGAAGAAGCAGTAATAAGGTGTCTGATAATATATCACATCAGAGAAATATGAAGTGAGGGGAGTTCTAGATCTAGAAGAATGCAAGGTACCCACCAATAAATAAGGTTGTATGTCCTGAGCAATTTTATTGGCTACAAATAGCATCCAGAGGTTGAAGAAGATAAAAAAAACTGAGAGAGGTTCTCAATGGGAATGGATGAGTTATAACAAAAATGTTAAGACAATGTATATGGACTTCAGAAAAATATTAACTGACAATATTGACCTAATACACTCCCCACAGTCCATTGAGACAGTCAGGAAAAGCTGTACATTCACATATGCATAGATGCAATACTGTACATCCAACAGCTCTAGATTGAAGCTTTGATGATTGCAAGATCTCTAAGGTTTGATTCAAATTTCCAAATCTTGAAACAGATGTATAAAACCATTCTTCAAACAATCACGTTTATCAAAGACAAACTCACCATCAGCATCTGTTTTGTTCTTCAAAGAGAATGACTAATTGCAAGTTGAAGCTAAACCACCTGATATCTTTTTCCTTTTCCAAGCCATCAAACCTAATTCTTCATGATTCAAAAGTCATACAGCCATGATATTCCTTCAAGTCCTTCTCTTCCCTCTACAATCTTCTTTCACATTTCTTATCTGATCATCCAGCATTTATTGCACTTGTTCTATACCAGTGATTGTGTCATTTTTTCTTGTATTATCCATCATACTAGAGTCTTGTCTGCCCAGTCCGCGTTCAGACTCACAGCAATGTGCTAAGGGTTTGATATTCATGTTTCAGACTAATCAAAAGTCCATCCATCCATGTTTGTCAAAGCCAAATTTGAATTTGTGAAAGAGATTCAAGTGAATAATTTAAAGTACACAAATTTTTATCTTGATCCCTCAATACAGTCACAAAAAGGATTTGATGGACCAAGATGCTAAAGCATGAGCATCAATTTTACTTATAAGTAAAGTCTGAAAGAAAAAGCTCCAATGAGATAAGCCATATACTGACATTCTGGGCCAAGGTTTTTTTGATTATCACAAATATGCTTTCACTACGCCAAAATTAATATTTTCCGAGCAGAAAAGATAATTAGGAGCAACATAAGTCACGTGAGCTCAGATTATTTTATTAATCTGTAATTCAGATTATCTTTATAATCTGTGACTCCCATGGCTCTATAATTTCAAGATCCACGTATGTAAGTCAAGTAGGATGAGAATATGGGCATCTCAGGATAACATAAAGTCATACAGATCTAAAATATCATACTAATCTGTGGAATCCATCAGTTGTCACAAGTGCTGTTGTTGGAAACACACTATTTTGATCTAAAGCAGTAATAGATTTTGATTGTTTTCTCATCATATCAGTCATCTTTACTACAGTGCCAATTCTGTAGTTACTAATTATAATGTTCTCTCCATCTTTGAGTCTCTTAATTTTATCCATGACATCAGGATAGACAAGTATTTCAGGTTGAATTGTATGCTTCCGACTCTATGAAACCCAAATTCAAAGTGGAAAAAATGAAAAGAAAGTAAGAGACCAAGAGAGAGAGGACCAAAAGACACAATAATGCTTCCGACTCTATGAAACCCGACTTCAAAGTGCAAAAATTAGAAAGAAAGTAATTAGAGACCAAAAGAGAGAGGGCCAAAAGACACAATAAGTAAAAGAAACAATAGATTGTAAGATTGAGATCTTCTTATGCTAGTCTTGCTTGAATCGTATCTTGAGTTAAGGTCTTTAATATACATCTCTGACAAATAAGACTAATTTTGGCCATCACGGTGTTTGCTGGAAATTTCCCTATAAGTTGATTGATCATCACGATCAATTGTAAGTTTAAACTTGCTCATACAAACCAACTTTGAAAAGGGAACTGACTTATGATAATCGCACAAAGCTTGAATTAACCCAAAATCCTGAGTGACAACTTCGAACGTCTTCTGAAGTGATTTGAATGAAATTTTTGCCAATCTTAATTGCCCTTCGAGGCCTTGCACGGAGGTAGGTGAGAGGTCGAGCTCAAGTAGCCGAAGTTGGATAATCTCGATGGAAGTTTGGGCGTCTCGAAGATTACCTCCAACCTCGTGGAAGGTCTCGTTTATGTCATCTTGAGCACCAATGATCTCGTCAATCTCGTTATGATTAAGATACTTGTACTTCTTTACAAACTCCCTGAGGTTTTCGGCCGCAAGACGGTACTGTCCGTTCTTGAGGTTCACAAGGCAGTGGTTGTTGAAACTTTCAATCCGTTTTGCATCGATATCAGCACTAGAATTAATCCATCTGATTGAAGGTTGCGCATCGTGGATCGGGTAGCCTAGCTCGGCTTGAACATAGTCCGTTTTCCGACCAAGAGGGATGGTTATGTTGTTTAGACGGGGGGCTACCATTTCGATAAAAATCTTCAAGAGGAGTTCGTGATCTTCTTGTGCATTTTGAGTAAAACGAAAATAAGGATAAAAGGAAAGGATCACCTCCACAATTTGGGAGGTAGTGGCTTTGCTTAGGAAGAGGTCAGAATCGATCCTAGGCTTAGTTTGATTATCAACAATGTATCCGAGGATATAGCTAGGTAGGAAAATGTGAAATTGAAGTGGTGTCGACATGAAGTTATTGTGATGTCAAAAGCGATGTTTGAAAATAGGGAATGATCAGCTGGTTGGAAACCCTCTTTCTGACAATTGATAATATATATACATGATCTGGAGATACCCGACTGTTCAGAAGTTTCTGATCATCATAATTATCAAAGCCCACGGGACTCATGATCACGACAAGATTTGGTGTTTCAATTTATATGCAGTGTGACAGCTGGAAAAGAGAATGATGGAAGATCACCATTTAATTAATAAATATTTAAGTCAAGTCAAACTCCGATATCATATATATGTAGATTTATAAAGGAGCATTAAATCCTTTCACAAACATTCTGGTACGATAGTAATTGTTGTCATTCTAATTTGAAATGCACCTGATCAGAAGGATGATGATCCCCACAACATGATTTGATTTCCAAAAAATTCTCCTTTGAAAAATATGAACAAGCTTAAAGCTTGGTGATCACCAAACATTTACAGCCAATTCTCAAACGCTTGACCACTTTTGCCGGCAAAGTTTGATCAGATTGACCGGGAGTTTGTGACAGGATTTTCTGAATTTAAATTCATTCCACTGGAAATTTCTTTGTGATCAAGTCATCACCAATATAGGTCCACGAATCAGAATAATTGATGCACAATAAACGCAAAGACTCCAATATCAACATTCGAAATCTTTGAGATTTTTTAGCAATTTCCATATTCACCTCAATTTCCTCAATCTCATCTTATCAGAATACGCTTTCAATGATCTTGCATAACATTTCTTGACTACAATTCCTTTCTTTCAAACAGCGTCAATATCAGAGCTGGTAAAGAAACCAAGTACATGTTATAATTACCTATCAAAAACTCTTGTTTGTTTTTCATCCCTTGAACCTTGACATCGTACTCTCTGGTCACTGATTATGAATATATATATCCCTTTGCTTGTGATATCCAGAGCGGACAGCCCAAAGTTTACTTCAGTACACTTCAATATTTTCCTTCGATCAACAATGCCAGGGAACGGAAGCAAGCTCCCTCCGCCGGGGTCTGCGAAACCGAAACTCAAGATCTCTGGAAGTTCTGCTACTGACGGAAAGTCAAATGTGAACATGATATCTGCCCAAGGCGAAATCACCTCACCAAAAGATCCGAACTCATCCCGCCGGCCGTCTAACACTTCACCATCCCCAATGGGGACTACTAGCTTCTCTGCGGCACGTAATGTCACTAATATTGTGGATATCACCAAGAATCCTTTATATGAGAAAGTCCAAAAGCTTGATTCCACCCTTCAACCGTTTCTTCAACATGATTGGGAGACCAACCGCAAATACAACCTTACAAAACTGAAATTTTACAACATTTTACATCATTTCAATCCCAGCACAACTTCTCGTCCAACTCACAAGAAAGATGAACTGAAATCAGCTTTCAAAAAGGATTTACTACCGAAGTTGCAGCCTTTTTGTAGTCCACCACCTCCACCCGCCGATTCTCATATGGATACTGATGATGGACTCGATTTCGATCCACTTCACCGAAGCACTACAATTGCCATGCTTGCCAGTACCATCCACAAAATAAACCCCCGCGTCAACATCTCTTCGGTGGCATTGAAGGATGAGGTACTTGCTCTATTCAAGCATTATGTTAATCCAAACCTCAGACTGCCTCACAACTCAGACTACACCGGCAGACCCCGCATTGTCAGCTCAAGCTTTGTTCCAAAACTTAGCATCCAGGCACTTCGACATGCCCTTCAATCCTATCATCCCGAATTATTCTTGAATTATTCAGTATTACGCCTACCTAATTACATCAGTCTCTATCGTCTATTCTTATTGGAAGAAGTTCAAAACACAGATGTTTCAGAAGAACTTGTTCCAGGCTATCACTACTGGATCAATGTTGACTTGCTTGATACGGAGTCTACAAAGCAGCGTGCTTCAACAAAATCAAAGTCTACATGTGAGTTTGATCCTCTTTTATCTGAGTATCACCGTGTATATGTACATCAGCTGAATTGGTGTTGTAACACTCCACTGGATGCAGAATCTCATCAAGCACACTTTGATTTCGAACCAACACTACATGTGAGTTCCATATATCTTTTTCTAAACATGTTTCCATTACCACCGAAATAAGCTAAACTGGTGCTCTAACACTCCATTGGATGCAGGATTCCATCGATCGTACTATGATTTTCAAATCAAGTGATCAACTGTTGCCGAATATTATTATAATTTGAATGTTACGTTTTAGATCTAGCATATGTTAGCCAGAACAAGAAACTGATCTACATCATTTTTGGCCCATGGCGGATCTTGGCCAGATCGATCAGTGATATCATTAAGGATTGTCAGACTCAGAAGCGATGTTTGTATGGGTGTTTGAGATGTTTGAATAGTGTAGCTCAAAAGTAGAGTTGGTTGCTATCAAACCCACATAAATATACAGACGAAGATCTTGTGCTTGTGTTTCATCTATTTCTCTTCCTCCATATATATCTTGTAATTTGAATACGTAGCTCCATGTCTACGAGATAGTGATACTACCAACACTTTCATTGTTAATTCCTTCCACTCATATAAATCGATCCTAGCCAGATTTGTTCTTTTATAAAATCTTGCGTTTTTCAAACATCGGCAGACAGCATGTCATCTCATAAATATAACTTTAAGCCTGATTCCAGGAGGGTAGTCTGCCGGTGCCAAAGTTCGGGCTGTTACAAGGGCTTTCATATCGACGCAATGGGTGTTTCACAGCAAGGTGTAGAAGTCGTTCCGGCCACAAGGGAGGCACATGAGCGTGCTGACAGTCGGAGTCGTATCCACGCAGCGTCTCCATTGATTTATAATCAAGATCCTTCAAGGCCAAATCAATTGCCGTCACTTATTGATAGTCAACATATCATCACAACCAATCTTGATCGTCTGTCCTTGAACTCCCAGTCAGTAACTCAGCCTTTGTCTCGAAACAATGTGTCATCCATCAGAGCACCCATACTCCAAATAATTGATTGCAACGCTGTGTTGAACACTGTAACCAATTCAAGAACCGAGACTGTCATCAACAACAACCAACAGCAGTCTATGGATTCTCGAGTGCTTGAAGCTACTCAGAAAGCGAGAGAAAACGGTGTGCACGAGTATGATTGCAGTAAGTTTTCCAATATCTTTCACATTTTGATTTTTTTCAATGATAATGATGCTGATTACTTCATGTCTTTCTGCAAGACCTTTTTCACCAGTTCACTCTAGCGGATTTCAATCCTGTATGCCTTCATGTAGCTCTCACTTCTTCTGTCATGAACATATTTGAGTCTGCCTCGCATTCAACATCTTCCTGGCTCATGGACATGATGCGTATCACAGTCGAATTGTCAATTTCTCACGGCATAGTTCCAGAAAAATCAATCTATCAGCTAGAAAAGATTGAGCAATCTACTCTTCAACGATTTCCACGCAACATCAGCACAGTTGTTGGATGGCTCAAAATCGATCCTTCTTTGATATTTATGAACTGCTGTAGATCTTGCTTTGCATTATACCCATTATCACGAACACCAATATCATGTACCCATCGTGTCTCCAGTATTCCAGGAGGACCTTCTGATTTATTCGAAACCAAAGCAGAAATACCAGATGATAGCAGATCTGACCACGACTTTTCGGAAGAAACCTGCGGACAGCCCTTGTTACATTTTTCCCGAGGTAAAGAAGTACCTGTTCGATGTTATGCTTTTCAAGATCTATCAGAATGGCTTGGACGTTTGTACTCTCGTCCACACTTTGAGGAATGGCTGGACGAGTCATTGATCGAGTCAAGAAAATCTTATGATCCTGATGAATCGGTACACGACATCCATCAATCGCGAGTTTGGAAAGAGTTCTGTGGCCCTAATGGTGAACAATTTACAGCACAAAGTGGCAATTTAGTCTTTGGAATGTTTGTCGATGGTATCAATCCATTCGGAAACAAGCAAAGTGGCCATCACGATTCAATCACCTTCATTGTCCTTATATGCCTCACTCTTCCTATCCATATTCGACATAGACCAGAGAATGTTTTCCTGGTTGGGATTGCTCCAGGCCCACGCGAGCCGTCACTAGAACAGATGAATTGGATCCTACGACCAGTTGTTGCGCAACTTCAAAAGCTATGGGAGCCTGGCTTACTTTTATCTCAAACACATCAGTATAAAACTGGTCGGCTTATTCACTGTGCTTTGCTTCCCTTCATCGCCGACATCCCCGCTCTGAGACGCTCCCTGGGGTTTCCGAGCGCTACCGCCAAATACTTCTGCTCTTTCTGTTTACTTGAAAAGAATGATATCGAGAACTTTCTTCAATCATCTTGGCCGATACGCACTTGTGATCAGCATAAGCAATGGGCAAACGAAGCTCGCGATGCAAAGACAGCAGAAGAGTGCAAGGAAATTTTCAAGAAGCACGGTGTCCGTTACTCGGTATTGAACGAGCTCCCTTACTGGAACATTGTCGACTATCACGTGGTCGATTCAATGCATAATCTTCTATTGGGACTTCTCTCTTGGCATATGCGGAGATTCTGGTCAATGGAAGATGTTATCAATGAGGAAGATTCGATGCCACCTGTCAGTAAAAAAGAGCTATATGATCTTTTTGATGAACATTCTAGTAAACTTCATAGCCTCCCAACCGCAGATCTAAACCCAGAGCTTGATCACACAAATGAGCAAGGAACCATACATGATATATCCTCCTCGCACGATGAAACAAATAGTTCAGACGATTTTGATCCGCTCTGTGATCCAGGCTGGGATTCCGCCTGGATCTCACCACCTGTTGACGAAGTTATCTTTGATAAAAAGATGCTGAAAATGATCAATTCTCTATTACCAAGGATTCATATCCCAACATGGATCAAACGCGCAATTCCAGTGGTCGGGAAAGCTTCCTTCGGAAAGCTCAAGGCTGACGAGTGGCGTAATCTTTTTACTATCCAGTTACCGTTGACTTTAATCCCTATGTGGAGTCGTCAAGATCATGTAAAAACGGCGCTCCTCAAAAATTTTTGTCATTTAGTCTCTTTGGTAAACTTAGCTTTGAAGCGAGTTATGGATCCCAACCTGATCAAGCGGTATCGTCATCATGTTGAAGAATATCTGGAAGGATCGACATCACTCTTTCACCACTGTAAACTGGCGCCTAATCATCACATGTCCATACATTTAGCTGATTGTCTTGAACGATGGGGTCCAGTACGTGCATGGTGGTCATTCCCTTTTGAGCGTCTGATGGGAAAAATATTAAAATCCAGTCACAATAATCATATAGGTACGTCGCCGGTTGATTTGGTTTTAATGACGTAAGTATAAATTCACTGATTTGTTTTTTTGTATCTTCATGTACATCAGGAGAATTGGAGGTTACATTTTTGAAAACTTTCTGCCGTGCTGGAAACTTGTCTGCTCTTCTCAGAGACACATCTCTCCCTGAGTCTCTAAGACCATATGCAACACGTCTACAGTCACTCTACGAACCAGCTCCTCCGGTCAAAAAGAAGTTATCCAACTCAACCCTTGAAGCAGTCAAAACGGACATTCTCTTGCTCATCATTAGAAAATTAAACAAAGAAAAGACTGATGGATGTGTGTGGATTCTCCCGGAAGACTGGTGTCAAAAGGCAAAGAGTGAAATACGAGGATGTTCTCCACTCAGCCCTCGGGCCACATTCTACAAGAATATCCAACACAAGGATGTTACCTTTTCAACATTCACTGACAACCCTAACAATAGTTTTATCACTTTCAGATCCAAAGGGTGTGAGAAAAAATGTTTTGGCAGGATATTCTCGATTTTTCTACATCGCAGATCACCAACGTCTTCTCAGAACCTTGTGAACACTTGGCTTCATGTTCAAACCTTCCCTGAGCTCAGCCCCGAGATATATAACCCTATGTTGCAGGTTAAAGCACCCGATGTGCAGGTCTACCTACGTGCTTGGGGGCCAACAGAGAATGTTGTGATTGAGCTGGAAGAAGTCGTTGCGCATTGTTCTTGGATCATGTATAAGTCACATGAGTTCTATAGAAATTTGAAGTTTCCAACAGTAGCTTTGGTTTCAATGGAACGCTAAACTTGTCATGTGATACTTATGTATATATTTATGTATCTACAGTCAACTTTACAGACATCAAGATCTCTCTTGTCAAATACATCGATTCTCATTGATTTTTAGACTGATCAAAATGTAGACTGTCCAAACCCGAGTAGACAAGTTTAAACCACACTGCATTAATCGTCATGGGATAGACAGGTGCTAAACTTAACAAAGTCCCGCGCTGTCCTCGCGACAGGGGACTTTGTTAAGTTTAGACAGGTGCACATTCCCTCCCGAGTCAGTACTTATCTGCTACAAGAGCCTAACCCCAACCAACACCAAAATCACCCAGAACCAGACAAAACCATATTCATCGCATCAATCAAACAAGTTGATATCCTATTTTATCACACTATCTTACTTCCCTGATCTGCTTCGGAGATTGAGTCATCGCGACACATAACACAGAAGCTACAGGGAGGTCAACCAGCGTGTTTGATGATCTAGAATCTACTTCTCCTGCGATTACAATTTTCATTACATTTGATCATTGTTTTGAGTCGTCTTACTCCAATTTTTCAAATTCTCTTTTCAAATCGACTGTCATCAACTTATTCAAATCAGAATCTTTCACAATGCCCAAGCAAAAATCTCAAAGTACTATTCGAGCTCGCGCCAAAAGGACGGTTGAAAAAAACAAGAAGAACTCACTTCATCCACTTCTCAACGCACGAGCTGCGAAGAAAGCCAAGCTGACCAAAGAATATGGTCTACCGGCCGATTCGAAGTTTCTCTTCTTTAAGAAAGGAAGAAAATATGGCCGACCTCGATTTCGACTTACCTATGGTACCGTGGTATGCCTAGATGCCGATACATCCGAACTTCTTCTTATTGCTCGTTTTAACGAGCGGAACGAATCGAACAAAAAGTTGTTTGCGTTGTTCGATCATGCCATCAGCACCGCGTACACACACTCTACGGCCCGTAATTTGATTGATATCAATGGTGCTTCTTATAAGGAGAAGCGTAGATCAAGAAAGTATGGTAAAATGTACGCGTTTGGAATGCGAGCAGGTTTTGAGAAAGAAGTCAGTGCAGGTATGTATTGATATTATGACTTACTCATCACGCATAATTATGTACTAACAGTGCTTGGCTTTGACAGCTTCATATTCATGGAACGAGCAAACTTCTCGTGACCTTGCCAAGATGCAGGAAGATCTAGAATGTCAAGAAAATCTACTGGAGATTGAGAATTTCTTCGCTGAACGATTTTCAGGACTGTCTTCCTACGCTTTTCAATCCAACGCCGACCTTGCTAAAGCTACAAATGCCCCTTCCTGGGCTGGCGAATCTTTCTATGTCTCGCCTAATGCCACGGTCTTTTCATCCAACGTAACAGTAACTTTCGATCAATTTACCAACAAGAAGCATAAGGACCGTGATGCTACGGAGTATGCCTTTGGTTTCTTCAGCTTGATTGATCGGAAGACTGGAGGACTTTACGAACGTGGACCTAGTGCACCAAGGGGAAATGTATTAGGGTCATGTTTTGTTCTTGATGATTATAATCTTGAAGTCGATCTGGATGCATGCGATGGAGTTATTGAACTATTGTGGCGTACTAAGGTTCACCATCGCACGACACCTTCAAAAACCTTCAATGCACGAAAGGAAGTCATCGCTCCAGAACTTGCCGAGGTAAGACGCTTTGCTTGCTCTGTTCAGATTTCGCAAGCTTTGGTAGATCGAATCTCAAAAGTGTATGAAATGCGAGAGGGTATGACATCAGAGAAGTGGGTTGAGTATCGTGATTCAAAGCTCCATGGCTGGGGATTTGAGGCACGAAAGAAAATGAAGGCACTTGCAATTAAACATGGAGTCTGGGATGACAGCTTCTAACACTGTGATTTCCCTCACAACCGGTTCAATCTTGTTTTTTTTATGTTTTTCTTATTCTTCAATTCCTTTTTCAAGGCCTTGTGAGCGTGTTGGTTGAAAATAAGTTTTGGAATTACAAATCCCTCTCAACCTCTACAGCATCAGTTGATTTGAGAGATCTTACTTTGTGGTAATGATTTGAGGCCTTTGCTAGTATAAGCAAAGAATCAAAAGTTAGAAAAAGCGATCCCTTTGTTTAGACAAAAGAAATCCTGAACTGACACATTGTTGATATTGAGTTTTTTTCAATGATTTTTTTATTTGATAGTGCACGTGGAATCAAAGCAAAAGACTTCAAAGATCTTTTGAAGTCTTAAAAATGAGCCGCATAGAACCAGCAGAAAGGCATCACATCTCCCATCATAACAGATCTGAGGTGTATCCTTTACTAGACACAGTTATGATTGGACTCAAAGCTGGAACCTTGACAACTCAAGTCAACTTGGGAGACTCAAGTGGCTATGGTGTATCAAAAATGTGAAAAACGAAGCAAGTAAATTCAATTCCATCTATATGAAATGTAATTCATAAGGTACATTTTTTCATGTTATAAATTTACATGAATACATGCAAGTGACATTGCCGAAAAACGACTTATGAAAATGATTTTTTTACATCACAATTAAAAAGATTGTAATATTAATCGATGTACAATCAAATGAGAGAGTCGAGAGCTTCAATCATCTTGTGCAGAATGGGTATTGGATGTATTTCCAGCTGATTTCGCTCCAAGGCCGACAATCTATTCAACCATTCTTCTGAATAACAATCCACTGGCAGTCCTACAGGTGCCTCGATTCTACTTACAGGTCCATCCTGACTCCGAAGACGCTCTCGTGGGCGACGGCCTCTTTGACCAGGCGAAAACCCAGGTATGCTACTATCAATCTTGACTTTGTATTCGTCAACACGAGAACAGACCATTTCGAGGTCGGAGCTGCGCCACTGGAGCCTTCTTACGTGGCGTGGTCGGCTGTAGCGCAAATTTTCGCTCAGTTCCATAACTTCTTCGTCTTCTGTCTCATCATCACTACAAGCGGCAACCATCAAGGCAGCAAGTGGCCACAAGCTTTGTCTAGAGAGAGCTACACGCTCTCGCAGTGATTTCAGCTACAATAATATCATCAGAATATGCTTATTAACATGGATGAGTTATCAATATATGCCACTCACATTTCGCATCCTTGTAGCTCTTCTGACTTCATCTGCTGCTTTTTTCTTCCGTGCAGCGTCCCAGTTTTCTTGACGATACCTGTGATGAAATTTGTCGTTGCATAAGTATTTGTTCCAACGTTTGAGAAAGGCGCTTCAATGAATATATTACACATACCTCTTCATAAGCGTTTGTATATGTGTTGCTAGATTCTTTTTAATCACCAAAATTCCTGCTGCATCAAGTGGAATCCCCGTGTATTCTCCACATTCTGCAAGCTTGACAAATATTTTAAGTGCAAGGTCCCATAGCCACTTGTTATACTTTGATGAAGCAGCTTTAGAGAAATCAGGTCGAAAGCTCATCACACCAACAGATTTCATCATCTGCCACATGATTGACAGTTGTTGAGGGGATGCGTTTGAGTGGCCTGGTCCGTCTTTGAATGGGAAGCAAGGATCCTCTTCTTGCACGTTATTCGGGGTTGATTCAAGATCTAAGAGAAATTCAACATCATCCAAGGGTCTATCAGCCTTCCATGTACTATGATCCTCTGAGCTTGCAGGCCGTGGTAGGGCTTTAGTTTTCTCGGTCCCTAAGAGAGTTTCAACATGAAACCTGAGACGTGCCTATTTTTTACAACACATTAAGGTAACTGATGTCAAGATTATATCTATGATGAAAGCCTGTGACAAATGCAGCTCACCGCAACTCGCCCACCGCATGTATTTATATCTTCTTTCTTGTCATTATCACGATCTTTAACCAATCTCTTGACCAGACCGGATAGAATTCGATAACTGCTTTCAAGTTCTTCGACTCGATCTTGAGTATCTAGCAGTGTTGTTTTCAACCAAGTGATTAATTTGCTTTGATCGGAAGTGGCTGACTCTGTCCCTGGACTACTGCCGGTTCTATTCTGATTTACGCCACCCGGAATAGTTGCTTCTGCACCTTTATCTTTAGAAGAGTTGGTTTTTGGCTGTTTAACAGGGCTTTTTAATATTGTACGTTTCCATAGATAAATGTGATTGAAGTGTAAGCATTGTACGCACATCTTTCACTTCCACATCATCTTCCAAAAAGTCCGACATTTCTTGATCACTTGGTTGTACCCAATCATCGTCCGTGTCGGATGCGACCGCCTTCCCCTTACCTTTTTGGTGTTCTGATCTCGTGGTCTCCACTAATGGTAAAGTTGGTCTCGGCCGAGGAAAAGCAAAACGCCTGTGTTCAAGACTCGGAAGATCCTTGGACGCAGATACTCCTTGAATTTGCCAAAAAAAATCTCAATCAAGCGATCACATCATGTGTTGCGGAGGATATCTGGAAGAGCTTACCAGTTTTTGATTTCGAAGAACTAGCTTGAGGTATGTCAATTGAGAATTCAGGAATTGTAACTGCTCAAAACTCAGTATCAGCTGCCGTTCAGGATCAAGAGCTTAATCTGACACCTTTCACATACTCAAATCATGGTATGTCCTGCAAGCTTTGACAAGCGCATCCTTGTCGAGTCCCCGTGTATCCATCCCCACATCATGTAGCATGTTGACAAGCTGAGACTCATGAAAGACCGAATACGTAACTGTTTCTATTTCCTGTTGCGGAGTCTTGAGAGTTTCCGAAGTAGGTGTACTGTTGTTTCTATGTTTGTCCTGATTGAATTGGCTTGAAGTGTTCTTTGGACGGATAGCTTTTGGTGTTTTCTTGTCCAGCCGAGGCTTCTTAGGCTTGACACGCTGGGCTAGGAGTTCCAGGAGCCGCTCCCGGGATGTCTTCTGACCGACGTGGACGCCCACTTCTTCGAGAGACTCCCTCGGCCCTGTTGGGCGTGCTGGCAGATCATCTGTTCATATTTTGGCAAGAGTCAGTTTCTTTTGGTCGTTTTGGTACCAACACAAACTTTGGTTGATTTCTATTTGAGTATCAGACTTACCTGAAACTACACACGAGTCCTTTTTCCTCTTCTTTCCTTTCGAAAATTCTGCTTGATGGTTCGAGTTATCTTCAGAATCTTGCAAAGTTCGACGATTGGACTGGCGCTGACTACGACGACGTCCTCTGGGAATAGGGATTGATGGCATTTAATTATAAGGATGATATATAAAGTTGCGCTGAGATATATCTAATTATGTGTTCTTAACCGTGCAGACCAGCTGCATAAACAGATTATAATTATTAATGTAGATGAAAACTCTATGAGGTATAATCTTATGACTAGATAGAATGAAAAATGAGAGGATTCTGCTCATGAACTTATAATCTTTTGTTCAGCCATCGAAGTATGATATAAGGCCACAGAAATTATGCTCGTCAAAGTTGTCTTGATGACATCTATCATTGAATGAATTAAAGACTCCATTTGAAAGGGGATATGTAAATGGTAACCGTATACATATACAGATGTTGACAATTCAGGTTTTCAGATCAACGGATTGCCTTTCTTTCATGTCAGTAGTATGCTGTTACTGACATATGATGATTATTCTAGTGGATCTGGTATTGTAGTTGTTTCCTCGACAACATCATCCACTAATTAGACAGGTGCTCAATCTTGTTGCAGCTGAGTGCAAGTCAGAACATCAGATGACAAGGTGGCATCTACATGCACAGACGATACATCTGTTCCACCTATCAAATAACTCATAATCATTGATTGCAATAATAAAGGCTGTCCATAATCGGGTACATCACATTGAATTTGTACCATATTATCAACATGTGGGTTCAATTAAACCATATCATTTGAAGACATTTGAGATTTAGTGTTTAACAAGTCCTCATGTTGATCAAATGCCAATTTCAACATCTATCTGAGGTGGGATGATGGCCCCTTGAACGGTGCCAATACGCAACTGAGGTATTCAAAATAGATTATGTCTTCATTTAATGAGAAAATTCCACGTGTGTATGTATGATGACTGATCCAACTAAATCAGCATTGAAGGTTTTTCCAATGTTGAAGGCATGGTAGTTTTGCTCGTTCTATCCAAGCATCATGAATTCGGGAAACAAAATTTGATCATGAATATAGTAGGTGGATGTTTTCATAAAATACTAGTTCAGAACACAAGTGAGAGAAGTGAAAGTATCTCCCAGTACGAGTAAATTGATAAATTGATAAATAATAAATTCAGTCCTATACTAAAAGGAACTCATATAACCATCATACACTAAGATGCTCCGGAAGAGGGTAGCAACATTGTAAGAGCAACAAAAAATGATCCACAAAAATAGATGGAGGAAAATTGAGAACAGAGAACCAATTGATCTTAAATATCAGATAGAAGACTTGTTACTACCAACAGAAGACCCAGCATCAGTCTGGTCGTCATCAGCCCCTTGTTCCTCACTGTTTGATCCATCATTAAGTAAACTAAGCAATGCTTCATCATGAGCTTTAATGGCATCATTAGCTTCTTGCAATTCCCAGGTCATTTTTTGTAGTCCAGCCTTGAGAGTTTCCGTCGCTTCTTTGATGCCATGCTTAATAGAGCCTTCGATACTCTTTTGAACCTCCTCCTGAATTTGCAATATAACATGCTCTTGGAGATCACTGAACCGAGCGACCTCCTTTTCTAGGTGATCAACGCGCGCCTCAAGCGCATGAACTATACGTCAATGATTTTTATTCACATAATCATCATGTCAGCTTAATCAAGATCAGTGGATTTTCACAACGCTTCATAATCAATATAACTCGCCTTGGGATACTTTGCGTCTCTCAGCTTGAAACTTCGACACCTGACCTCTTCTTCTCGTTTGACGTGATGAGAGAATCTAGTACAATTGATGAAGGTTTGTTATCGGGAGAAATAGGTGTGATATCTCTACCAATAACTGATCCAGCCAAAGAAACAAACGGTCAGATTGGCCAAACCACAGATCCCATTTGAACTAACCAATGTTTTCGCCTTCAAAAAAATCCTTCTCTGTAAAAGTTATAAAGTCCTCTGTGTAGAGTTCATTATTGTTTTCTGTATTTAGAGGGGTAACATCCTCCGGGCTCACAGACACAAGATTTCCTTCTTGAAGACTGTCTGCCGGGGTGAGATGTGTTGATGGATTAGAATCGGTGGGTAACAGAGCTGAGGATAAATATGGTGGCGTTTTTGGCATTATACTGTATCGCTCAACGTCACATGCTGCTTTATCGCCACCCTGAATACAAGCGTTGGAATAACATCCAAGTGATAGACGATGTGTTCGTGAAGAATCATGATTGTTCTGGTGTGATGATCTTCACATAAGCTTGTATATCAACGATTGGAATAGGCAGGGACAGTGTTGGATGGAAGACAAAATTGACACACCGGATTGACTGCTGGTTTGAACGGAATACCCGGAGAAGCTTGAGCACAATCAGATCTAACTGACGTCCTATCATTCTTAAGCTCATGATCACCACTAGACTCTGGATTGGTCGAGTCTGCAAATTGGACACCCTGAAGTCCGAAAACAAATGTGATGAATGTGACAAGCCTTGTACAAGCCCGTGAGGATTACACATAAAAAAGATGTACTAACTTTTTTCTTCATCACCTTGATCTCATTCCTTTTGATCGATAAAGCCTTTGAGTCTTGCGATGTTGCCTCAAGCTTCTTGAAAGAAGCGGTGGCTTTGACTGATACAGCTCGTTTTTTTTGTACTGGTTTTGTCTCGGGAGAAGCGCAACGTTTCTTCTTAGAAGATTTCGTGGAGACTGAAGCACTTGGTTCTGAGACTTCATTACTTGCAGGTGATGCCTTTGGGTTGGTATTGATCTTTGAATCAGGCGCTGGAAGTCTGCGAGTTGAAGATCCTGTTGGCATTGAGGTGTCCGGCTTGCGTGTGTGATTACCAGAAGATCGCATGCGTCCATTAGGAAAATCTGTAAATTATGATAAGCAGAAATAGATGGATAAGTATTTTACGAGCTTTTATGATTATGGGGTAGAGAAAAAGAACAGGAGATCTCCAAAGATTAATTTATAAGCAAAGGTGTCGGCATTACATTCAGGTTGAGCTTCTCTGACTAGATTTGCAATTTCGTCCCTACCCATGCTTGTCATGATTGGAGTCTTAGGGTGATTGATGTGCATCCAATCAAGCATCATCTGCTTGTTGATGCCTCGGGCATCTGGGTCAAGCATCTTCAAAGCTATAGGAAAAGGTAATGATGTGGAAGTAAAAAAAGATGGAGTTGCTGAAAGTTGATGTCGAGAGGGCGACTTTAATTTTATCAAGTACTGTCTTATTCATAAATTCGATAGATGGTTTGTATCATCAGATCAGCGTGGAAATTGCAACCAATCCGCTTTCTATGGGCGACTTGCTTGTGGCATATAATCAACTGATGGTTTCCTTATTATCAGTTTAGTCAGCAGTCATTACAATATAGTTTATGCATCACCCAGATCTTGGCTCACCAAAGTAAGAGCGGACGACCCTCATACACCGGTGCCCTTAAAGAATTTATATTGGGCAAGATTCAATATGTAGATCTTCTTTTAATGTAAGCATACAGCAATGTATGTAACTGTCTCAATCTCATGTCAATTACGGATCTGTGTAATTCTAAATGTTGAATCACATATGAACTGTTGTAAATTGTAATTGGGAGATGACTGGGATGTCTGATGGATACAAAGTTCCCTTTTTCAATGTTTTCGAAGCAAATCTCCAAAAAAAACATACAGTAGCAAGAATTTGATGGATTTTGCTTATTAGTGTGACATTGTAGATCTGTGTAACTTTGTATTATCCTGAGATGCCCATATCCTTGACTTACATAGGTGGGTCTCAGGATTATAGAGCCACAGGAGTCACAGATTATGAAGATAATCTGAATTACAGATTAATAAAATAATCTGAGATCATGTGACTTATGTTGCTCCTAATTATCTTTTCTGCTCGGAAAATATTAATTTTGGTGTAGTGTTTGATAGTGGGGTCCAGGGGGGCAGCCTGCCTTGGAATTTCAAACATGTGCTAGGGATGAAGGCATCACTTAATAATTCCATACCTGTTTGATCACTGTAGGTTTGCTTTTCCAAACACAAGTTCACAAAATTTTATTGTGGACAATATGACAATGGGATTGGTTGGGTTGTCTTTTTAAGCAAATGCAGTCAAAGGAGCATGTGTTAACATACTGAGAATACATGAGTAAACTGAGTATTGTTGATGTGAGACAATTCAATTGTTGAGAATGTAGGTTTGAAGTGTGCATCTTATCAAGTTTGGATGAAGTTGAAACAAGAGGTGTGAAAGTGTGTGAGAATACAATGCAAACAGTGGTGCAGAGTTGTGAACATGTGTATATGTCTGGTGGGGGGTTCTACTTGCTTCACCATGATGAGAACTTTGTGACATATCAAAATGTGAGAGATGTGTTGATCAAATTCCAAGAGTGCACAAGCACCTTCAGTTACTGTGGTATGACTTTGGCTGTGTGTGCACTCAGTGAAACTGATCAACACATCACTTACATTTTGATATGTGGCAAAATCTTCTCCCCAGTATGTGCAGTTGTCAGACATGGCATGGGGGTTGATTACCAACAGATGCATCTGTATGCTTTCTTATGGATCCTCTGTAAATATACACATGTCAATATCCTTGGTTCAAATACAAGTCAACAAGATACACAATGTAATTTTAGAGAATTGAATGTAACAGTGGCACCTAGCCCAATGTTCTTTTGGCAGCCCAGGCTGAGCCCAAATAGCCTCAGTAATAGCATTAGCCCAAGCGTACATCACCTCCAGCCTGGGGGTGGGCTCCTGAGCTGGGCTGGCCCAATGGCCCAAGGACAAATCAAGTGCAAAATCCACCCCAGAGAAGCCCTGCAAACAGGTCCGGGTTCGGCCCCCAAAACCCAAATGCTTTCAGGGGCTTTTTTGGTTTCTGCAGCCATCTTGGAAGCTATGGCTGAATCTTTGGGCTGCCCAAAGAGCTTCTTCAGGGCTGGGCATCACCATTCATTGGATTTCCACAAAAAACAAAGTGAATCAACAAGACAAGATTCTACTGCCTGTGAGTAACATAACATACATGTTTTTCTGCAATATAAAACACACAACCATGCTGATGCTATTCAAAGAAATCATTCACCAAGAAAAATCCCTCAAGGAGCCAGGTTTTCACCTGGCTCCTTGAGCATGGGTGACCATACTTCATACATACATCCTTTCGAGCTGCACTAGATTTGATTGATACAATGGCTCAAAGCCTCAATCTAAACAGTAAGTGGGTTGTATAACAGCCAGAATATCTAGCTTGGAGACCAAATACATGGAGTCCTTAGATTTTTGCTTCAAGCAAATCTGGATCAGTAGGGTCCAGAATTTGCCTTGGAGGTATCCCATGGGTACTTTTTCTTGGGGGCAGGCAACTATGCAAGAAGTTTACATACATATCTGTGTTGAATGCAAAACAAGAAAACCTATTGAGACAACATTACCACCTTATTTGTGACTATTGCCTTTGCCCGCTGTTCAATGTTGAATACAAGTGATGAGCTTCCCTCAGTTGGAGAAATGCCAGGAACTTGTGCGCTGCAATGTCAATTTTTCACAACAGGCCAATCAATTTACAATTGAACAGCCAATCATATAGAGCTTTACTTGACACATCCTACCTTAATGAAGTACCTCTAGTCAGCCATGGTCTCTTTGCCAATTCAGCAATGGCAAAGCCCAAACTTGGTGACCAATCTCATGATAAGCAAGCTAGTGCACAAGAGACCCAAGCACATCAGTTTGGTAAGATGAAGTCAAGCTCTCAGTATTGTATCAATTCAGACCATTTTTTTCACGCCAGTCAATCTATCTCCCCAACATAGCAATGCATCCTGACAAGGACATGCAAAAGATACAGAACACAGTCTGCAGAAATTCAGATGACATTCATGATAGCTCAAGTAACAAGGCATATCTGACTTAGAATGAATTTGATTCACTGCAATAGACCATAAACATACTATATTCCCTGGCAAGAATATAATGTTGCATGATGCCAACTCAGTGAAGGGCAGATGACTTCTAGACGGATGACAGCAGCTAGATCAAGTAGGTGAATTCAAGTCTTTAAAAGCTATCATCATTGGTGTAATGGAGACTATCTTTTCAGCCCTATTCAGGAAACGCAGGGCATTGAGTTCAACAACCAGCTGGTAGGTCCCAGTATTTTACAGATCAACTCACAAAAAGTGTGACACATGTGTGATACTATCTACTTCTGTGGCAAAGACCTCTGTCCTGTTCACATAGAAGGGAGCACACATTACATGTTGATATATATGATGTGTTGTCAGTTTGTTCCACTGACAAGTCCGGCAGGACTTCTTGACAATTTCTAGCATTCTCTTGAGAAATCTTCCCACCACCTTTCCCTTCTGCCTTGTGTTTATTTTTTGGCTTTTCGTCACATCTGCCAAAATCCTTCATCATCTTGAGTCTTGCATTCAATTTTTAGGTGGGTTCATCGTGTTGGTTTTATCTTTGGGGGAATCATCTTCTTAAATATAATGATGCCATGGCTCACATCACTGTGAACATCATTCAACCTCCCCGGGTTGGAAGAGGAAAATGATTGATAGTACAGTTTTTCATAAAAGGATCCAATACTGCACACCTGAGCCATAACACCCACACTACATATGTGCAGCAAGCTCAGTAAATAGTTGTCTATCATGTACATACAGGTCTGCTCAATTTTTACCCATCAGAATAAATAAATCACATGTTGTACCACATGTAAATTTTTTGAATTTGAAAAAATTGTCCCAAAAATTCACTACATATAATTCTGTAGCTGCTCAGGCAATATTA